GGAGAAGTCACCGCCTGGGGTCCGTCCCTCTGACCGCTGGAATCACCCCACCTGCGACACAGGCGCCCGCCGCTTCCCTTCCGGCGGCGGAAGAATCCAGAAAAACGCGGGAAGGCGCGAGATGCGTTGTGCGCAGGCGCGAGCCCAACGGTAATTGTCGCGAGGCTTGGCCGTGTGCGAGCTCGTGCTCACCACGTTCCTGTCACGCCGCTCTGGCAGCCTCGAGCGGCCACCAGCTCTCCCACGTGCTGCCCAGTCACGTGGGCTTAGGCGCTCCAGCGGCCCAATTCAACCGTGCTCCACCCGGGCCCCAGCCCCTCTGCTTCCACTATCGCCCCTCCGCCCCCCACCACACACACACACACACACACGCACGCACACTCACCCGCCACACACACCATTGGCCGGGCTTTGCAGTACACCAGTAGTAGCCCCTTCATTCTGGCTTATCAACTACCATAGGCTGGGGGTCTACCCTGGCCCCGCCTTTCGAACCGGATAGTCACGCCCCCGAGAAAGGCCACGCCCCCCACCAACCTTCGTAGTTCAGCCTAATCCCGCCCCTCTGCCGAGCTCCCCCAACTACATTGGCTTAGTTTCTCCCTTGGTCCCGCCCCTGAGGCCGGCTCCTTGCCATCATTGGTAAGGCCCCGCCTTGGGCCCCTCCCGCTGTCCGACTCGCCTCTCCCATTGTCTCGGTTGATGCTGCCCACCCAGCAATCCTCCTCGGTGTTCAGTTTCCCGAGGTCGCGCTCTTTCTCTGGCCGGCGGGACGGTCCTGCAGCAGAGAACCGGCTTCCCGAGTTCGGGCAGCTCCTCTTCCCTCCGTAGGACCCTCTGTGCTGTTCCAGGGTCGCAGCAGCTATGTCCGCGCTGCGAACTCTTCTGCTGCTGCTGCTGCCTCTCTGTCCCGGTCCTGGTCCTGGACCCGGGAGCGAGGCAAAGGTCATCCGGAGTTGCACGGAGACCCGGCAAATTCTGGGGGCCCGGGGATATAGCTTAAGCCTACTCCCTCCCGCCCTGATCTCAGGTGAGGAGTATAGAGGAAGACTAGAGAATTGGGGGCGAGGGAGGGGTCGGGGGTGGGTCCTCCCCGTCTCACAATAACTCTAACCTTTCAGAGTGACCTTTGTAATCTTTTTATCCCATAGTAATAACGCCTCTCCTCCTGAACTTCCTTACCAGGAGCACAATAGCCCTCCTGTTCACATAGTAGCTCTTTTACGCCACCCCCACCCCAAATCCCTTTCTAGTAAGTAGCACCCATCTCTCTGGTTCTTTCTTTACAGCCCAATTTGTTCTCCTCGCTGTTTCTAAGAGCACTTCTATAATACTTTCTTGTTTACCAAGTAACCCCACCCCTCCAAACCCCATTCTTCCTAAAGAAGCTGTCCTGTAAGTCCTTAGAGGCCTGGGGTGTGCCATGCTGGGGACGGTGGCCTGAGGGCCCTCTGATCACTCATTTTGTTCGTTACTGTTTGATCCCATGCCCAATGGCAGTGGACTGGGGAAGGGTGAGGGGACAATAGGGTGGGAATAGGGTCAAGTAGGAATGTGTGTACAGACAATAGAAAAGAACCCAGACAGGTGAAAGAGAAGGAGGGATGGCCCAGAGATAGGCAGGAAAAGGAAGGAATTTTACCACATCACTTCCCACCATTCCTTGTGTCTCCTCTGTCTAGGTGAGCACCTCCGGATCTGTCCCCAAGAATACACTTGCTGTTCCAGTGAAATAGAGGAGAGGCTGACCTGGGACACTGAGGCTACTTTCCGAGGCCTGGTGGAGGAGAGCGGCTCCTTCCTGGTTCACACATTGGCTTCCCGGCATAGAACATTTGATGGTGAGGACTTGGGGCCCCCAAACCTGGCCACACAGCTCCTCGCTGTGCTCATGATCCCAGCAAGTATCCTGTCCTCACTTCCTACTCCATCCCTAAAGCACCCCTGCCCTGTCTTAGCTCCCCCAACCCCACCCTAGGCTCTCTCCAGGGCCCTGCCCCACCCCATTCTCAATCTGCCCACGTCTGAGAGTTGCTCGGTTTCTAACTCACTTGTCTTTTCTCTCCCCACTTTCTTCTTGCCTTTGCTCTTTCACTTTTTCATCCTTCTCTGGCCTCATCCCACCTCACTCCACTTTCTTTGCATTTGCCACAGAGGTTTTTCGGGAGATGCTCTCATCAGCTGAGCACTCCCTGGCCCTGCTCTTCCACCGCTCCTATGGCCGCCTATATTCCCAGCATACCCCCTTATTCAGCGGCCTGTTCTCTCGGCTGCGGGACTACTATGAGAAGTCTGGTGAGGGGTTAGATGACGCCTTGGTGGATTTCTGGACGCAGGTCCTGGAGAGAATGTTCCCCCTGCTGCACCCACAGTACATCTTCTCCCCTGAATACCTGTTCTGCCTCACTCGCCTTGCCTCCTCTGCTGATGACTCTCTGAAGCCTTTCGGGGACTCACCCCGTCGCCTCCGCCTGCAGGTGAGGGGTCTCAAGGCCTGAGTTTCAGCCATCTCTGACCTAGTGACCTCTAAACTGTGCATTCACTTCCAACTGAATGACCGCCGCTTCATGCTCCAGTCACCCCTGACCTGGTGATCCCCACATCCTGCATGTCAGCCATCTCTGACCTTGTGATCACTATCTAGAGCCCCAGTGACCCCTGCCTGACCCAGTGCTCCTTGATTTCCTTTAATTGGATGTCTCCCACTCTCATCCTGTGCTGAAATTTCACACACATCCCTGACCCACTCACCTACTCTTGCCCCCCAGCCACCTTTCTGCCAACTCTTTCCTCATTCTAATATCTTGACTTCCTCTGGTTCAACTAAATGTGAATTAGGCACTTGGTATTTGAGAAGGATTTTCATTTTATAGTATCTCATTTAATTGCCATTGTAACTCTGGGAGGTAGATGGTAGTATTCCTGTTTTACAGATGAGAAAACTGAACCTCCCAGAAGTTAAGGTCTCACAGCCAGTAAATGGTAGAGCTGTGTCTCACACCCAGGTCTTCTGGCTGTAAGTTCAGTGTTTGTCCTGATGCACAGTCCCATTATCTCCAAGCCCTGTAAAACAATCCCTCCCATCTCTTCCCAAGCCCAGCTCACCTTGACTATAATTCCTTTGAGCCTCTTGTACTTGCCTTACTGTACCACCTGATAATCCTAACCACCCCAGGATAACTCCACAAACTACACCCCACTGCTCATCCCGGTGGTATAGTCTCTTGGCCCCGATCTTGACTGACAAGACGACCCTATGGTTTTTCTCACCTTCTTTCTTCTCCCCCAGATAACCCGGGCCATGGTGGCTGCCCGGGCCTTTATCCAGGGCTTGGAGACTGGAAGAGATGTGGTCAGCGAAGCACTTAAGGTTAGAGGGTGCTCCAGTGTGGGTGGGGCTCAGGGAGGGAAAAGGAGATGCCCCGTGAGGAAGGGTCAGATGCCAGCTGGCAGGAGAGACATGGAGCTTTCCCACGTTAGCCTTGAGGCCCTGGAACCCCAGGGTGAACCAGGAAGGAGGTGGGCCAGAGGGAAGTCTCCCTGGTGTCATGATTCATAATCTGCTCACACCTCTGACCCTCTCCTGCCCTCTGATGACTCATATTCCTGTCAGCCTCTGGGGTTCTGCTCATCTCCATAACATTCTGCGATGGGAGTGCTGCTCCCCCAGTTTCCTCCAGATGCCTTAGTGGCTCTTCCTTTCCTGCTGCTGAAGGCCAGATTCCTGACTTGGCCTTCAAGGCTCTCTTTCTACCACCCATTCTCTCCCTGACCTCCAGCCTTACCTCTTCCATCCTCAGTTTCATCCTTCCCCACTCTTGCCCTTAAACCTTTTCTCAGACCCCACTGTTCCATCCTTCCCAAAAAGCAGTATCTACAACCTGGCCCCGAGGAACTTCCCTCCACAGTCTTTTGGGGTCTCACCTGCTGCTACATGGGGTCACCAACCCTAGCCATTCACAGCGGTTCTCCATATGGGCATGGGAAGGTAGGGTGGGGTGTTTGGTTTCTCCATGCGCAGCCTCAGTGTCTGTGGATCACATAGCCCAGCTCTCTGCCCCCAGGTCCCCTTGTCCGAAGGCTGTAGGCGGGCTGTAATGCGTCTGACTGGCTGCCCCTTTTGTCGCGGGGTCCCCCTGCTGCCGCCTTGCCGGGGCTTCTGCCTCAACGTGGCCCATGGCTGCCTCAGCAGCCGGGGACTGGACCCTGACTGGGGGGCCTATCTGGGTGAGGACTCAGGAAAGCCTGAGAAGCTGGTCCCTGTAAGGGTGAGAGGGATGGACTGGGAGGGACTTTTAAGCCATATTGAGGGGGATCACTGAGCGGGGAGGGAGTGGTAGAGATCTTGAGCCTCCCCATCTAACACTTTGCTGTCCAGGTCAGGATTTGTGGGAACTTCCTAGTTTAATGAGTACCTCCCTGTTGTCCCCCCCCCCCTTTTCACCCTTGGCTTTCTCCCCCTCCTTCAAGATGGTCTCCTGTTCCTGGCTGAGAAGATCCAGGGCCCCTTTTCCTTTGAGCTGGCAGCTCAGGCCATTGGGGTGAAGATCTCAGAAGGTTTGATGTACCTGCAGGAAAACAGTGTAGGGGTGTCCACCCAGGTACAGGAGCCTCGAGGAGCGTGGGAGTGTCCGCCTGGGGGCTGGCAGGGGTGGTATGGGTGTCAGCTCTAGTACAGGAGAGAGAAGGATGGAGGCAATGGCCTGGGATTGTGAGACAGGGTTGGGTGTCAGAGAGACACTGTAGGTGGAAACAGGGCTATCAGGGGAGATTTAGGTGTTGGAATGGAGATTCAGTGCCAGTTTCATCCTGTGGGGCATCCCTGTGCCACAGGTGTTTCAGGAATGTGGGGTCCCCCCAAAGGCGATGGCCCGTGCCCACCGAGCCCTGGCACCCATGGAAGAAGCAGGCCGGCTCTGGACCGCGGCAGCAGGGGCGGAGGAGGAGCAGCCCACGACAGCTGCGGGCAACAGCCTGCCCCGCATGGTGAGTTGGGGGG